AAAAAAAAAAAAGCATCAGCAGCAGCAACAACAACGACAATAAAAAAATAAAAAACTAAAGATGGAATTAAAGAATATAAAAATACTGATAAATGACTGATTAATTAGCTACATTTAGAAGACTCAGAAGAGCATAATTCAATACCTGGCGCTGTATTACTGTAGGTAAAATTCAGAATCTGTAGGGTTGTTTCGTTGACCACATAAACATAGCCACGAGTTTCTTCGCTTACTGGATCCGATAATTTACCAATAAATACACCAAAATCTTTATCATACGTATTTATTGTTGCATTAAATTCAGCAACGATTCCTCCTGTAAAAATAGGCAAACATTAATTCACTGATATTGAGCATGAAAAAAATAACAAATCCAAAACAGCAGATATTTTTAACTTCAAAATTTTCAAACGCATTTTATTCTGTTGTCTTCACTCTTCGCAAGTCTTTTTTTTTTTTTTGCAACTACAGAATGGAGGACAAAGTCTGATACAATTTGTTGTCTTTGGTTTGGTAAAATTAAAAGACAAAAATAAAGCAAAGAGAAAAAAAAAAGAAAAATGTTGCACCCATATACTTATTTTTTACGTAATTTATGGTTACCTAACTGCTCAGTAAATATTACCATTACCGAATTTCTTAAACCATCACCAAAAACAACACTTTTTAATCATTATTTCACTACTGATTTCCTTTTTTTTCCCCTCCCGTTGTCATCAGTTCGCTTACCCTATGTCTGGTAACGTCATTATTCATCAGGTTTTTTCTTTTGTTTTTTTCTTATCTTTCCGGAAATGCAGAAAAAAAAAGAAAGGAGAGATGAGAAAGCACGAAAGAAAAAAATACAAAAAAAAAACAAAAAAAAACTCAAAAAAAAAAAATTGACTTTCAATTTTTATGCTACCGATATTTCACAATACAAATAACCACATCGAAAAACTAATTTAAAAAACTGTGTAAAAAATAGATAGAAAAAACAAAATTTTGGTGTTATTTGCTGAAACAATAAAAGAAACGATAAATAAAAAAAAACAAAAAAAAATTGATGAATTTTTTTCCACAACTTTTTTTATGCCTCTCAAAAGGAAAAAGAAATGAGTGAAAAAATATTAGGTAAACTTTTGCAGAACATTTACACCTTTGGTACTTACGTAAACCGTAATATTCTCCCAGAAAGGTTCAACAAAAAAATTTTGTTAGTTACCTAACTTGTAAAAATTTATAATGTTCAAAAATATGGATCTGGTAAAAAAAAATTTCACAAGAAAAAAAGAGCTTAAAAAAAGAAATTTTAAAAATTAAATGCCATAATCGACCACAGAATTAATTACTTTGAATATACTCAAAATATAAATAAAATATTGAATATATATATTAAAAAAAAAAACAAACTGGAAAATTAATAAAGAAAAAAAATATAATAAGGACAAACAAAAAAAGTTCTTTTTATATTTCTTTTCATAGCAAAAATATTGTTGCTAAACAAATCTTTTCTTTTGCCTTCTTCTCTCCTTTTTTTTTCGTAGTCCTAAAAAAGACATTTTTTTTTTGTCTTTTCTTGTAAAAAGCAAACAAGGTCGTCGTCGTCGTCGTGGTCGTCACATGCCCTGCACACAACTTTACGTCAACCCAATAAACTGTCCATAAAGCTTCGGGGTCAACCAAAAAATTTTTTTTCGTCTCTTTTAGGCAGGCAAATCAACAAATACCCATCAAAAACAACACAAACACACAAATACACACACACAAATACACACCACAAAACAACAACAACAACAACCAATGTTTGTCTGTTCTTATAGATGAACAATTGTAAAAATATCTATATTTCTGGTAATAATTAGTTGAAATTTTACAACTACAATTGAAGGGCCAAACCAAGCTTAATGGAAATACAGATATAAAACGCAGATAAAGCTTGATTGAAAAGACGAAAAAGCTAACAACAGAATGAATACCTTCAAAAAAATCTATTTGATTACAACAAAAAAGCTAGAAAAAAAATTGTCTTTTTCCCAATCCAAATCATTCGGCATTTATTCAGCAACAAATCAGACCAAAAAATCTCAATTAAACTCCTCCCTCCCCATCAAGAAAAAAAAAAAGAAACATATACCTGTAAAAACAGTAGAGAAGAACAGAACTGCTAATAGCAGCATTTGAAAAGTTAGCCTCTCCGATGTTTCAATATATCAGATGAAGCGGTTTGAAAATATTTCCGATAATGTTTGATAGACGGTGATTAAAAATCGTTGAATATACTGTTAACGATCGATAATTGGTGTGTCTTCAAATTAGGTAACCGTATTTTTTCTCTCTTTTTTTGCTTCTCCCTTTTGACAAGCAGAGAAAAAATTTGAAGAAAATAAGGAACAGAAAAAAAATACAGCAATACCAAATTCCAAAGAACAAACAAAAAAAAAGAAACAAAGAAGAAGCCTCCTTTCTTCCTTTTCTTTTCTGTTGAGCTTCGTTTAAATTCAAAAAATACCTGCAAAATATAAGAAAAAATTAGCATTCAAATAGTACTATCCTCCATTTTTCATGTCGTTCTCCAAACGATATCGTATAAACATATAATATTTGCATACAAACAAACCAAATACATACAAAATACATTGCAACAACAAATTCGTAAACAAAACGTGAAGTAGTAAAAGGTTGAACAACTAACTGAAAGAGTGTCATCATACCTCTTTTTGCCACCACTACCACCACCACCACCTATCTTACTCCTTCTTATCCTCCTTCTCATCATCTTCATCATCATCATCATCATCGC